AGTATGAGAAGCTGCTACGAAGAAGTGGGGAGGGCAGTTCACGCCCCTCTGAAGTATGGTGAGAAAGTGGGAGTGGAAAAGGTTCCCAAAATGGAAAAGAGTGGAAAATTCCTAACCAGAAATAAAAAAGAGGTGGATATGTATTTAGAATTATCGAGGAACCCCCGACGCCGACAGACCCACCCCGGTTTTGGTCGGCGTCCATATAAAAGCGAAGCCCCAACAGGCAGAAATCAGTTCAGTTCGAGTTCCAGTTTCAGTTGAGTTTCCAGAGTTGAGTTCCAGTTGAAACCGCCTCGCAGATAGCTGACCAAGATTCACGCAAATTCCGGACTCCTCTTCAACCCAAGAACAATTATTTTGAAGAGCGACTTAGATCCAGACCACCGAAATAAGTTTTTTTTCGACTTTCGTCCAAAGACACACCGAAACACCACTTTCTTCGAGAGCAAACAACTTGAAGCGTTAAAACTTGCCTAACGGAAAACGACGTGTCACAATCCACAGAACGGGTCGGGAGATAGATGCAGTCCTATGTATCGAACAACTAGACATAAAGTTTGTTACCTTTTTTTTTGATACTTTGAACTTTTTGAGTTTTCATTTTATTTTCTTTTATGCATATTTGTGTAGTATCACCCCGTTGAACTCGGTTTGCATTACGGCCCCAACCACTGTTTGATCTCGTCTGCCTAAGATCAATTCATAACGTGGGTAGGCGGACTGGAGATCAATGCAGTTACCTTGGTAACCAGTCGTTGGAAGCGAGTTGGGAACGACGAGGCTGATATCGAATCTAACCAGATTCCCATCCGAATCACCAAAAGGTTAGAACGTCACATTTTGGTTCCGCGACCGATACCAAGCCAGTTGGTCGTCACAGGACGAGACAACACGACTGACGCGACAGGCGGACGTCACGTTTAGAGCAGCGACACCCGAACGGAGCAGCGAGGAGCGAACAGCTGGCGCCGCGGCGAGGACGTCACAACTGGTGCTGTTTGAGGACGTCACAACAGGTGCCGTGGTAGATCAGGATAGAACGTCACAGTCGGCGCTGCGACCGGGGGGACGACGTCACAACACACTGTATTTATGGTTCTATCTTCAAAGAAATAAATTTAATCCCAGTTTTTTCATTAAAAATGTCAAATTTTGTACACGTTGAAATTAAATTTTTCAAATCTTTTATGAACAAACACTTTTTTGATATCTCAAGTTTTAAAATTTTCTGGAATTAAAATATGAAAACATCGCTACCGACATACAAGGATTGGTATTCAATAGCAGTTCAGAAATATTTTCTTCTTTTTTTTTTAAATATTTTAATTAGATTTGAAAAGCATCTTTCGTTATTACAAGGTGACTATTAATTTTAGTGTCACGTTCCATCTTCCACTTCATATCATGATAATATATAATTTATTCTTATTTACTCTAGATACATTCTGCCTATTGTACTCATCTTTATTTTAAATAATAACAGAAATTGTATTATACATATAAATTATTATATAACACGATTCTCTCTAACCAATCAATAAGTTGGGTATATTTTAAAAAATTTTTTATACCTTAATTTATTATATAATAACCCAGCTATTTCAAAAACATAAATTAGTTATAAAAACAAGAATACCCATTTTTTCATTTAAACTTTCCAGTTTTTATTCCTGATGAAATATAATGCATAATTGAATAAGTTATTTGCGTGCTCCAAGGCTATAAAATACTAAATTCCCTTGCTGAATCGTTAAATATTTGACATTAACAGATTTAACGAAATATTAAAATAAAAGTCATAAATTGAAGCTCATCATTTAAAAGCGTAAGAGGGTGCAAATGAAATAATTTGATGTTGATTATATATATAATATTTACTGTAAAATAACGTTTTGATGTATATATTCCATAAATTCTATCTCTGATAGCGCAATTAATACCACAACCAATGTTAATCATAACAGTCCAAGTATGGATTGAGAAAAAAAAATTAAATAAATTATATAAAAAAAAAAAAATATAAGACTTGCTAAATCAAACATTCTAGTATATTATAAAGAATGCAGAAGACATTTTGGAAGGATATGCCAAAGATATACAACCAAAATGGAATGCTGTTTTCCTTGGAATCAGCAAAAAATATATTCGACCATCATTAACATTTTCCCTAGAAATGAGAAACAAATATGAAAAGCAGAAAAATAATAGAGGAAAAAATCTGTTAAAAGTTTATTGTGTTTGGATATAAAAATTATTTGAATTACATATCTTCCTTCGTTTCCTTTTTCTTTTTCCTGTTCGACAGTATTATGATAGGACTGACCAATTTTAGGGAGGGTTTGTTTCATTTGCTTTACTTTGTTTTACAACATATAAAAAAAAATCGATGGGTTATTTAATGCTGCCAAGGTTTTTAAGACAGTTTCGTATGAATAGAATATGTATTCATATGCAAGAAATAATTTTTGCAAAGAGGTTTTTTGTCGAGAGAGAAATGTATGGCTGGTATATTTTTCTTCAAAAGTGTAATTGCTGGTAATGTTTTCCGAAATACACTGCTGGTAATATATTTCTTTCTAAAAAAATATTTTTGGATTTTTTTTTGTTTAAAAAACGTATTGCTGGTAATATTTTTTTCAATAAATGTATTGCTGCTATTTTTACTA